GAAAAACACGACCTTGTGTAATGCTAAGATACAGGTATCGACAGATTTTAGATCCATGAATGTGTATATGAATTATATAACATAATATTTAGTTTGCTTTTAATTTACTGACAACAAAATCAATATTGATACCAATAAAACAATGATCTAATTACAGTGTTGAATTGGTAACCTTTTAGAATAAGTTTATTTCACGGATCGACAAGTTTACCAGGATCGTTTCTAAATTTCCGGGCACGGTAAACAACATTTCCATAAAAATTAGGATGTGCTATCCCATTTGAACTTCAAAACCAAATCTGTATATCTATGGAAGAATTTAGTAAAGGTTTTAAGTAATTTGTGGTAACAAAATCCCTGGCTTAATAATTTACCAGTAATACATAGATTACGTTCGATAAAATCAAAAACGTCACAACAGACACGGGCATAGCGAACGAGTTGTGAAATTCAAACACCATAAGATGGTGCCAATGGAACATCACCATCCAAAAAGGGAAAAATAACAATCGTGAACGAAAAATCGTCCCTTTTGTCGTAAATTTCGGCAGTATATTTAAAAAATTCTTGATTTTTGAACGAAAACATATCATCAAGATAAAGGTCAGTGTTGTTGAATTTATCAGTTAAATGCAATTTTGACGGGTCTTTACTTAGTGTGGTTATAAACTATGATTCATAACAGTACAAAAACAAGTCTGCTATTAAAGGGGCGCAATTAGTGCCCATTGGAATACCTACAACCTGTCGATAAACTTTGTTGCCAAAACGTACATAAATATTATCAAGGGGAAATTAACAGCTTCAATCATCTCATCCCACCTCCAGTAAGTATATCTAGCATATTTACCTTTCACATTAGAGAAGAAGAAGGCTTTAAATGAATTGCAGCAAATATATTTGCATTCAGATTTACCAAACGACCATTTAAATAAATAAGAAAACTTTTGTTTGATAAGATTGTGTGGAGGTGTAGTGTAAAGAGTAGAAAATTCGCATTCAGATCTACCAAACGACCATTTAATTAGAGTAGAAAAGTCAAAACTGTCAACAGAATCCAAAAGACCATCAAAAACATCTAATTTATTTAAATCATTCAATTTTTTTCACTCCAAAATAGACGATTTTTTCCACTCAAAGGGTGGGACATAAAATATTTTATAATATTTTGTGTACAATGTACATCTGAAATCAGTGTTTCCCAGTCAAACCAGATAATGATAATTTTTTTTGTAATTTCTGCCGAAAAAGAAATGTATTTTAGAATATCCAAATAAATAAAATCTGATTTGGATTATAGTTTCGTGCTCAATGGAATTAATTACGACTATTTAGATATGTATGCCTTTTAAGTTTTGGGATCGAATTTAATGAGGAACATATTCAAGTTTGTATCAAAGCACGTTTTGGGGATAAGCTACAGATCAATCAGATTTTGTTTAGAAGCGACATGTCTTTAAAATTGATACAGTAAAAAAAATGGAGGGAGGGGAAGTTAAAGATTGAAAAGTGTAACATTATTTTCTGTTTACATATCAATATTTTTAATTTAGGTACATCTCCACATGGGAAGGTCGACTATTCATATGTATTATATATTGATAGAAACAACTGTCTGTGTACATCTCTCTTTGGTTCATCTTCCTAGAATTATTGAGGGAAAGAAAGACAATTAATCTATACACAATAACCAGTTTAGTTATGATTTTTCATGCACCGATTCAAAAGTACACTCAACGGAACTAAAACTGTAGCAGGAAATGTAGGTTACACGTCAATAAGACAGCAACCAAACGACAAGAACAAACTAAGGACATCTAGATTGATTTTTTGATTTTTGGTGTTTTAACGCCACTTTTAAGCACCGCTTTTGGGCTATTTCGTGGCGGCCAGTTTTTATTAGTGGAGGAAACCGGAGTGCCCAAAGAAAACCACCGACCTTCGATAGGAAAACTGACAATCCAAGTCAATTAAGATTGGAGTCGAGTGCACCCGCACGAGCGGGGTTTCGAACTCACAACCTCAGTGTTGACTGGCTAGTGATTACAGTAGTAACTACTTAGACCACTCGGCCACCGAGGCCCCAGGACATCTAGAAGGCAACATATAGTATAATTTCAACAATAGATAGGTGTCTACACAATATGTCCATTTCTAATTCGTCACTATAACATATTCTAGTTTGTATTCGTTTCTTCTTTGTTTTTAAGTTTCAAAGATTTTTTATTATGGCAGTCCATGACCATGATGACATTCTTCTTCTTTCATTTTGTTGAAAATCAGGCAAGACATAATCTCGTTTAATACAAGTTCAATTCATATAACCTTTTAAACTACTTACAACAGGTACCGTCGACTTCAACTGTATGGAGATGCCGTATGTACTTCGTAGCTTATCTTTTGAAAATGTGGTAGATACTATACCTAGTAACACGCGTCTGTCAAGATAAATGGCGAATAACAAAACACAATATTCGGTACCGTAAGTTTAAAAAAGAAAGTAAAACATGACGAGTCGAACATACAATATTGTATGAATAAAAGGAGAAAAGTGACTGTGCTCCAGTACCACTTTAGATCACAAGGTCACGATTAAAAATTGCCTCGGGTCACCAGGTCACTTTTAAGCAAACTATTCAGTTCTAAACTGATTTGATTCTCGGTTTAAACATTTTAAAGGTCACATGTACTTTCAAAAGAGACGTCAGGTCGCAACGTGGTCAATTCCCTCCTTTGACGTCCCAGGTCGGACTTGACAATGTTGTAGCCACATATAGGGTGAATGCATCCAACTTGAACATTTGGATCCTACTACCTAAAGTTATGTATGGAAAAGTGGCCATACCATTTACATATTTTGGCTATGGTTATTTCACTTGGGATAAGTACATGTAAGTGTTTCATTCATGAATCAAATACCTTTCTTGGCACAAACTCATAAACAATAAATGATAAAAACCTATTGCAGATTATTGCATATACAATGATATTAACAGACGTGATCGAATGAAAAGTTATACATACTAATATATCATAATATTATTAATGATAACAATGTGTGGGACTATAAAGCATAGAAAAATACAAAGCACAATAGAACTGGTATGTAATGCGTTCTTTCTAGTGCGGCAATCAGGGAAGTTAATCCCAGTGTGTAATGTGTGTTCGAATAAACCGTTAATCACACGTTCTCTTTGGATTAAACGAGATCTTTTGTATACATATATAAAAAAAAAGCAGAGACAGATCCAGAGTTTAAGGGAAGGGGGAGGCATAATTGTCCAAAAAGATAAACATACCACCAATGTTGTTTTTTTGACGATTTTTAAGCAAACGATTAGATGATATCAATCAAAAGGGCCCTCTAAACCCACATTGATCTTCGGCTATGTCTCTAAGATTTTCTATAGGTCGTTCCTCAAAATACAGATTTTGTTTCGTTTCGTTTCTCAATTTACATGTTTCGTTTCGTTTCGCTGTGTTTCGTTTCGTTTCGCCATGTTTCGTTTCGTTTCGCTCTGTTTCGTTTCTGTTCCGTTTCTCACTTTACCGGGACCCTTAATTATATACATGTACGAAAACATTCTTGACTTAAGATGATTAACCAATAATTTGTTGCATGAAAATTAAAGGTAGGCAGGGAGCCATGTCGAACTATATTTTATTGATATTTAAATGCAGTTATAACCTGCTGTAGCTGCTTGCAAAATTTCATAAAAATTTGTGAGATCACCCGTTATACCTATAACATTTAGGCAATATTTCAAATTGAGTTATTTTCTATAAGAAAGATTCATGCACAATAGATTGCTTTCTGCAACTGGTGTAATAAATGGTTTTCTTGAAAAGTATAGTAATTTACTTCACACATCATTTTGTAAATTGACTATCTGGTATATATAAAAAGAAATATACTGTGTCCCGAAAAAATCTCAACAATAAAATTCATTATTTACACTGTTAATAATATCTAAATAGAAATATCAATCATAAACATGAGTGAAATACCCTCCTTGTTGGACTGTACCCTAACAGTAACTCTTTCGAGTTGCTTTATTTAGACAGAAACTGCTGGTCTCTAATAGAAAATATACATAACTGCTAAGGTATGGTTTTAACTGTTTAATGCAATACAAACTAGTCTAGATCAAATAAGTTTCAACAATAAATATTATATGTATAATATATTAATCCATTTCAATGGGATATCATGGTCAGTTTCTGAAATTTTCCTTCAAAATGTAGTATACTTATAAAAAAAATCTTTTTTACAAAAAATTAGGTATTATGATATTCTAGCTATTCTGCATCTATTGAACAAATCTTAGGATATCTACAAGTTTTTATTTTGATATTCTGTAAATGCATACATTTATAAAATATATTTTACATGCTATTTAAAACACCTGTACATGTATTTAAAGCCACGATTAATATGATCAATTTTTATATTCAATCAAAAATATCTGGCTTAAGTCTGAATGTAGGAAATTAATTCTTGGGCTTAGTGGTTAGTCTGCAGCATAAAAATTAGAGGTATAAACATTTATCTCTAAGCAAAATATTACAGGAAGCAAAATTTACAGTCTATAAAAGAATTTTTGTTTCTTATTAAATATGGTATAAACAATAAATTATAAAAGAACAAGGAATAACATGCATACATGTGTAAATTAATTGTTGGATTTTATATGTACTGCTGTTTTAATATTAAAAGTTAAGAAATAAAAAGGGTTATGAATGAATTCTTTTATCAAAAGGTAAGCTTGTCTGCATTTTGAAGTTATACCTGAATTCACTGAAGGCTCAATAACAGCATCTCCCAGTTAAACTCAGCAAATGGGATTGTGTAGCGATCTGAAATTATTGACTTTAAATGGGGAAAACTAAGATATTAACTTAAAACCAGGAATTCTAAACACGAAGTTCGGACAAACACTAATGCATAATATTTGAGGCAGAAGACAATATCGAAAAATGGAGTGACACTGAAAATTTACCTGATGAGAACATTCCTGGCATTCTGTAATATTGTAATTAATTCGTGCATGGCATCCATAATTGAGCAAATAAAACAACAGATACACTGTCAATGCCACAACATGTTTGTTATCCATAATATTTTGGGAAATGTTCACAACCCATAAGCAACGACATGCTTCTGCTACTTTCTAAGGGAAGCAACTTCTGTCACAACAAGAACCACAACTCACATCGACATAAATTTATTTACTGTGTGAGTGCGTGGGTACATCATTTTTTACACGGTTAACCGTGATAAACTAATAAAGTAATCTTTTATTCTGCCCTGGAAAAATAATTTTAACAACTGTCCTTTAAAATACCTATTTAAAAAAATTATTAGATATTAAAGTAAATCTGGGATCATATATGGTAATGTCGAATGCTGACTCAAGGATTTGTATAGTAAGAAGGTAATCATTGGCTGACTGAAGACGGATTTGAGTAATCCAGAAGCCCGTGCATTGTGAAATTTGTTTAGAAATTTTCGCTGCAAGGGTGAAAAATAGACAAAAATGATATTTGCGCTTTCAAGCTGTATCGGAAATAACAGTCATCAGTATGCAATAGTATTCGAGTTGGGTCCGTTTAGAAGCTATTTGGCATTTACACTTAAAATGTTGCTCAACTTTTCTTTCATTGTGTGCATGGTTGTGTTCAGTTTCAGGCGGCTGTTTTTAGACATTTTTTTTCATGCAGGGGGACATTTTTGGCGTACTGCCCTTTATAGGAATAGCTCTTGTTTATGAAGCCGTACTTTATAGTTGTAAACTGAGACTGCTATAACACATAGTAGTCTCAGTTGTAAACATCCTCGTCCTTTGTTTATTGAATAATTCTCTCGTCGGCAATCATTCCGGGCATATCTCCTTATTTTTAAATTTAAAAAAAGCTATTTGCGATCAGACTATGTGCAACTCATTCGGCATTATGACTGTGACTTGCCAAAGATCCTACATGCAAAGGAAGATAACCACAGGGGCGTTTTCATGATATTTGAAAGAGGGGGCGTATAATACAATTTTTCGCCGATTGGAGCGAGGCGAAAAAATTTTTTGACCTTTTTTTGGCTAAAAAACATAAAATAATTGTGAAATGCACTGATGTAACGGTTCCTGACTTGGAGCATGTATATTTTATAGTTAAAGTGTCAGGGTTTGATATTTGTTATGCCGAATTCTCTCCATTAATTGTCTATGGTATATTAAAATGATTGGATGGATCTTAACAGCAGTAGACCAATAACGAGAAATTCCAAATTCTAGGGTATAGGGCGTTACTTTACATTTCAATAGCCCTAGGTCAGGATTTTATGAACGGGAGGCGTAATTCCGGTTGCCCTGGTATAGGGTCCATGGGGAAGGTCAGAAGCTCCTGGATTTCAACAATTAAGCATCAAATTATGAAGTATTATAACAGACTCCATGATAGACAAATTGGTGAAAAAAGTCTGCCTTCGGATCATTCAAATTATGTATTGATTAACACGTAGATATCAAATCTTTGGAAGAAGTTGTAAATTCAGTTAAAAGGTTATATGGAATGGGCATGAAAAATGAAAAATAAATCTTTAACGATAGCTTTTTCTGAACTTTTGATATATATATATACCCGTTTTGTTAAAATATACCTTCTCACTGTTTTGGTCTTTTGGAAAATGTTGTTTGTGCTGTATTTAGACCTCTTTACCAAGAAATTTGTTTTGCATGCACTCGTATAAAAATTGCAGTTTTTATCCAACGCAATCATAGGTTTGAACGTTGTTTTCAATTTAGAAGATATAAAAAGATGTGGTATGAGTGCCAATGAGACAACTCTCCATCCAAGTCACAATTTATAAAAGTAAAACATTATAGGTTAAAGCACGGTCTTCAACACGGAGCCTTGGCTCACACCGAACAGCAAGCTATAAAGGGCCCCAAAAATTACTAGTGTAAAAACATTCAAACGGGAAAACCAACGGTCTAATCTATAAAAGAAACGAGAAACACTTATGAACCACATCAACAAACGACAACTTCTGAACATCAGATTCCTGATTTAGGACAGGTGCAAACAGTTGCAGCGGGTTTAAACGTTTTAATGGTACCAAACATTCACCCATATCTGAAGCAATAGTGTAACATTGTATTTATAATACCCCGATATAGATAGTCAAATCTGACCCCTTCCAATGCAAGGCAAAAAAAACATAACCCCATTTCAGACAATTTAGCTGAAAATGCAACCCCGTTTGTCGGAACATACCCGGTATCATATATATAGCGAGTATCCCCCGGGTAGATGTAGAATGGCCATTGGGGAAGTGTCACACAAAACAACCATTTCATGTATAGATTTACTTACCGCTTTGGTTGTTTAAAAAAAGGTGTCCAAGTCACCCATCGGATGGGGGAATCAGTATAAAAAGAATCAGAGTATGTGTTTAATTAATGAATATGATAAATTGCCATATTCAATACAATATTAGCAGATAACGATATCGTTCTTTTTTGTTTTGTTTTTTTTGAAAAGGGGGGGCGTACGCCCAATACGCCCTTACCTGGACCCGCCCCTGAACCAATTCATTTTAGATCATAGATTAGCAGTTGTGATTATTAATGCTGTTAAAATGAATTGGAAGTTACTGTTTTTTACTGCATATATTACGATACACCACTGCTAAAGATGCATTTGATGTTGATGTACACGGTAAGGAATGGAAACATGCTGAACTTTATTGGCTAGAAAATTATCTATTTATCCTTTATTTAACTATATTTTATTCATTTATAATACTTTCAATTATAAAACTAATATCAGCCACACTAGTAAAATCATATTTTAATATTTAATATTGTATAAAAGAACTTGAAAAAAATGTTTTACCACTTGCTTCAATTGAATGTTATATGATATTTTTCATCTAGAAATATTGATTTTATTGTCATGTCAAATGTTCATGCCCATAGGGACACTGCTGACTTTGAAATATACAAGTTTGTGCCGTGACGATAAAAAGAGAGGGGACACAACTCGAAGTTTGTCATTACTCCGGCCTAATTTGCATGACCTTAAGGTCGGCATCCTGTCAAATAGTTCTAGAAAAATAGTTAAAAAAATTTAAAATAATATTTGTTTTCGATTTCTTATTCCTTTCTACGAATAACAAGGATTCCAATCTTTATAATACAACACAGATTGACGTACATGATTGGAATCAAAGTTGCAAGTCGAACTATTTTAACACATACGGAAAAATTCATACTCAATTATGCAAAAAAATAATTTTTTACATACCCTAAAAGCAACGTCGAAATCCGCCTGGGAATACCGGGTGTTGTAGACATTTCTTTTTTCTTCAAGTTTTTTTTTTACTTATAATTTTTCACACCTTCAGATAAGTGAAAAAGTTAAAAGATTTGATTACTTAACAAAATTTTATAGCAAGGTTCAGAACAGCAGCAAAGTGAGTCAAACTAAGTTTTCTCCCCTTGCTACTGTTCTATAAAAGAATGTCATAGCGACGGCTTCTGAAACTGAGGCTATATACGTTGGATTTCGCCCGTCAGGACGGGTAAGTGATTTTTATTCTTTACTTTCAAAACTGCTCTACCGGTTATGGCACTTTTGACACGTCTCTGTATTTGTGTTCACAGCTGCGTTTTGTATCACGAAATAAGACTGCCCCTTTTTTTTCAGGGCGAAATACGTTTTCCCGCTTTAGTTCTGTCTGCACGATTTGCCCGTGCATTTCGTTTGACACAAAATTTCGGCGGACCTACCCCTGCTGTGCGGTTTGTACATTTGTGCATTTTTTTTTCTATTGAAATATTCATTTTTGCCCCTTTTTTTTATACCCGACAACTTTCTTATTTCATTATACAAATTCTGTTAAGAAATGCTAAACACACGACTTCCGGCGCTTCCTAACTTTATATATCAAAAATTTTAACACTTCTGTGTCTACGACCATATCACGTTGAAAACACCGGTTCTCGTCCGATCACCGAAGTTAAGCAACGTCGAGCTCGGTTAGTACTTGGATGGGTGACCGCCTGGGAATACCGGGTGTTGTAGACATTTCTTTTTTCTTCAAGTTTTTTTTTTACTTATAATTTTTCACACCTTCAGATAAGTGAAAAAGTTAAAAGATTTGATTACTTAACAAAATTTTATAGCAAGGTTCAGAACAGCAGCAAAGTGAGTCAAACTAAGTTTTCTCCCCTTGCTACTGTTCTATAAAAGAATGTCATAGCGACGGCTTCTGAAACTGAGGCTATATACGTTGGATTTCGCCCGTCAGGACGGGTAAGTGATTTTTATTCTTTACTTTCAAAACTGCTCTACCGGTTATGGCACTTTTGACACGTCTCTGTATTTGTGTTCACAGCTGCGTTTTGTATCACGAAATAAGACTGCCCCTTTTTTTTCAGGGCGAAATACGTTTTCCCGCTTTAGTTCTGTCAGCACGATTTGCCCGTGCATTTCGTTTGACACAAAATTTCGGCGGACCTACCCCTGCTGTGCGGTTTGTACATTTGTGCATTTTTTTTTCTATTGAAATATTCATTTTTGCCCCTTTTTTTTATACCCGACAACTTTCTTATTTCATTATACAAATTCTGTTAAGAAATGCTAAACACACGACTTCCGGCGCTTCCTAACTTTATATATCAAAAATTTTAACACTTCTGTGTCTACGACCATATCACGTTGAAAACACCGGTTCTCGTCCGATCACCGAAGTTAAGCAACGTCGAGCTCGGTTAGTACTTGGATGGGTGACCGCCTGGGAATACCGGGTGTTGTAGACATTTCTTTTTTCTTCAAGTTTTTTTTTTACTTATAATTTTTCACACCTTCAGATAAGTGAAAAAGTTAAAAGATTTGATTACTTAACAAAATTTTATAGCAAGGTTCAGAACAGCAGCAAAGTGAGTCAAACTAAGTTTTCTCCCCTTGCTACTGTTCTATAAAAGAATGTCATAGCGACGGCTTCTGAAACTGAGGCTATATACGTTGGATTTCGCCCGTCAGGACGGGTAAGTGATTTTTATTCTTTACTTTCAAAACTGCTCTACCGGTTATGGCACTTTTGACACGTCTCTGTATTTGTGTTCACAGCTGCGTTTTGTATCACGAAATAAGACTGCCCCTTTTTTTTCA